TTCTCTTTCTCTCTGAACCCCCCTCCGATTTGGCGGCGCTATGGCCCCCCTGGGTCTCAAACGTGCCCTGGACCTGGCAATCAGTATACGGAGGAAATCAAAAGGTGTCTGTGTGTGTGTTTGGACGTGTCCAGGTGTATGTGTGAAAAGGTGAGAGGAGAAGGGGCTACCATTGGTGATGTGTGCGTACGTGCGTAACTGTGTCTGTGTGTGTGTGCGTGCGCGCGTTCGTGTGTTTTAGGGAAAGGGAAGGGGCACCGTGAAATTTATGACTAGCGGCAGATATACGTAAAGCGTTTGGCGAGATGGAGCTGGTCGCGCTAGTACCGCCCCGCGCCCGCTGGAATTCGCGCCTGCTGGCCGGGGATATGGCGCGGAATCCACACATTCCGTCGGATGACGTGCCCACTACCCCCCTCCCTCCCCTTTGTGACGCTCCCTGTCCCCACGTTCCATCGCTATGGTCCCCCTCCCTCCAGCACTGCTGCACCTGCCGCACGGCCACGCTACCCCACGACAAAGCTCAGCCGCGTGGCCCGTTACGCTGGAAAAGGGGGGGGGGGATAGGGGATGGGGGCTGACCTCTGCGCGTGTGTCGGGTCAGCAGCATTTGGCAGAAAAGCTCAATACCCCAGACAGTGTAAAAGTAATTACGCCTATGCGGCGTTTTACTATTGACTTTGTAGACTTTTTTCCCCTCGAAATAAAATCATACGTTGGTTGTACCGTGTTCTACGGCAACACAGCACCGAACTTTGCCGCTTGCAAGCGGTAGAACGGGGGTCAGAAGAGAAAGGGTACATTGTTTTAGCTCGAGAGGATACAGGCCGGCCCTTATGGCCTCGCCACGTGAGGTCAGGTCGGGCCTAGCCAGAGGCTCAAAGGTCATGGAGCCGAGAGCTCTTCTCAGGCGAGCAGCAACAGGCAACAGGCTGGCTTGGGGCCGAGTCCTTTGCCAGTCATTTGGGCTCCTATGCGTGTATGTGTGTTTGTGCTTGTGAGCGCGAGGTGGTCGTGCACTCGTAAAACAGTCTCAATATTTTGGCCGACGCTGTGTTCTCCCATTGCTGTCTCTATCGGAGCCCTGGATTGCTGTTGTGCAAGGGCGCGCCACCCGCCCGGCCGAGTTTCGAGTTTCGTGCATATTTGGTGTATGTGTGCCCGCCCGCTGCCATTTGGTCTCTTCCTATGTCTGTGTGTGTGGGGGGGGGG